ATATATCATACACTATACATGTGTTACATTTACATATGGGCTGAAACAGAAAATAGTACACAACTCTTGCATATCCATAATTATACCTGTATGCCGAATCTAGTTTTAGAGTTGGTAGCTGCATGAGATGAGCGTATACAGGGCCGTCACACTCGGTGTTTAAATCGCCACAGACCACCAGAGGGAGGGTAGCGTAGCATTCTTGTGTCAAAAATAGCGATAGCACCTTGATCTGCTCCAGCTACAAAATGAGGGAAAGGCATAGATAAGCTCGGTATACAGTGAAGAACATGTCATGTTTTTTTCAGACAGTACATTGGGCTATAGGAGTATAGATATCCAAGAGAATCGGTTGAGCAATGTTCCGATGCTTGTGTAGTAGATCGTAGTAGAACCATATCCCCAGAGTCAGCACGCACATGGTGCCGTATATAGGTGGACGACTTCAGTCACCTTTGCCTCCACATATGTGTGTGTACAGTTGCAAAACCCCGAGCATGTAAAAGTTCGGCGCTCATAAGTATGAGGTCAATCGATCTATATTCCAGCTAGTCCTATACCTACCCTGACATCCTCGAAATCGTCTTTGGCCTTCAGATGTGTGGTGACGACGTGTACCTTACGACTCGACCTTGTGTGTTGCAACACAACACTCAGTGCTACTTGATTGTCGTCATTGTTCAGTTCATCTCTGTGAAGGTAGTATCGCATATGGAGTTGTTGTGTTTGAATTTCAAGCATATGGTGTGGAATATGTGGAAACTCATAGTGTTTGATGAGTGTCGGGTATCTGGATAAACCGAGAGTGTCCAGTGAGACTCTGGTACTATTTCAATATAGACACACTGAACAGGTTTGTTCAAAAGATCCCCAACGATACGAGGCTGTATACTGCTTGCACATCACAGAGGTGTGAGATAAGACTGCAACAGTAGAGATGCATAGCTGGAGAGCACTACTGTATACATCATTAAACAGCCTGGGAAGTCACGCCACATAACGAACGCAGGTCAAGTACGTCACCCGACCACAAATTCTCCTCATGCTTTGTCCTGCTTGTAAACACCATAGTAGCAAATGTCTAAAAGTTCAAAAGTTATGCAGAAAGGGCTTCCATACATCAAGTTATATCTCTTCCACACACAGAAGTGACCGTAAGCATCTTAAAGTGAATGAGTCAAACCTTTTACATAAATCCAATTTTTTTTCTCTCGTAAGTACACGCTCATCGGTCCTACCTATACAAGAGGTCGTGGCGGTTGCCTAGTTTAAACTCGAGCGTCTTGTAGAACACTGCACAGCCGTCCAGAGAATCACCTTTGCTTTTCTTCAGAAACACGCCCTCGTATCCTTCGCAGCGCAATGCTGCATCGAGCTCATCGAAATGATCCACTTCCTACGGAACGGTATGGGTTAGAGACGAATTCAGACCGGGATGTGATAAGACAGCTACAGGGCACTTCATGCGAGGTCTCTAACCGGTACGCAATAGCCGCTACACACAAGCGGTCTGTATGGGGGTGGCTCCGCGCTCATGCACCTGGCGTACATGCACATATATACGCATTAAAGCACAGGACTAAGCGTGCTAAACAGCGCAAATGGTGCATATCTTGAGTTAACTCAAATGTCTCCCGAGTGCCAGTTTGAACGAGGTGAGGAGAATCTCTGAAACAGACTGAAGTTTGCCTCTCCCGAGCAAAGCAGGTACACGGACAGGGCAGACAACACACACCTCCAGACACACAACTGTGGGAGAGAAGCGCACTATCTCCTCCAGAATAAGCGGTGCTCGATGGGACCACTGTAAGAGGGTAGACAGGTTTGGCTTGTGATTAGAGGGAGTATGGTTATATACTCACGGATTAGGGTGTATGTGTGGCAGGTAGCATGTGTGAGCATGGGTAACCTCATGTGCATGCCACACATTCGAATACAATTTGTTACTGTATTAATGAAAGACATAATTATTATATGACTCCCCGGTCTAAAACTCAATTGGCGACATCTTGTGAGTTTGAGCGAAAAGTGACATACGGGGCAATTGCAGAGGAAAGTGCTAATCTGATCCAATATCATATCAAATGATACCCAACTACACGTGTAAATCGTAAAAAGGCCGTACTAAATACACATAAGGAAAGACAAACATATGTGATAGTACTTGCTAGTGTGTGTGGTGTTGTGTAATATGACATACCTACCTTCAGACACTCAGTACTGGCCAGCGGGAACGCAGCAGAGTATGCCAAACTGTCAGCCAGCACATTGAACTGCATTACGCTGAGCTTTATCTTTTGTAGCACAGTTGTACCGGTGGCTAGATTGGGGCCTATGCAGAGGTATATACGAGATTAGTAGAATTTTTAGTAGATTGGGGTATATGAAATGAGATTAATATAATTATTAGTAGATTGGGGTGTATGCAGAGGTATACACGAGATTGGTAGAATTATTAGTAGATTGGGGTGTATGCAGAGGTATATATGAGATTAGCAGAATTATTAGTAGATTGAGGTGTATGCAGAGGTATATATGAGATTAGTAGAATTATTAGTAGATTAGGGTGTATGTAGAGACATATTTGAGATTAGTAGAATTGTAAGGGCGTGCAATTGATGCACACAAGTGTTCAAACGACGACCACGTGAGTCACAAGCGGGGATCGCAAATGTCCTCAACATATTATTTTCCGTACAAGTGGAAAACCGCAGCAGTAGTTCACAGATAAAACACCTCAAAAGAAAATAGGAGCATGTATTCTATATGTGACCTAATTACACATCTTTATCTAATGGGTTCTGATATAGTACACCGGTGTACTGGGTACGTGGCAACAACAAATCAACTGCAGATGTGATTCACACTCGTGCAAGGTGTCGCTTCCCGACAGTCAGCGTTCCATAGCACAATATCTTGAAAAGACTATCCCGACCAACTCTTTAACTTAAGTAAAACAGTATGTTTGATCCCCTGGTATGTATTGATATATACAGGCATGTAAGTAAGTCAACTGTTATGCATGATTTTGACCATGGGCCTGTGTCAGTCGGTATTTAACCTTCACTTAAATTTATGGTGCATCGGTGCAAAATTCTAAGTTTCCCAACTTAAAGCTGTGTTTGCATATATATAACGTACTATGAGTCTCAAAGCTTATCCTTATCTAACTATTTTCAGAGGATTTCAATGTGTCTGACAAGTAATAAATTGACGCCAATCAAATCCAATTAGGGACTGGGTACAATACATTCCATTTGCATGACGAGTTCTAAAGATACCTTGACAATACGCTTTCAATGACAACGGCCGTGTCCTAACTACAAGCACCGCCATACATATATGTTTGTTCAAAACATTTATATACCAGACTTACTCTCAGCGACATCTGGGTCCGCATTCACAATGCATCGTGGAAGCAGTCTGGCCTTGGTCATCCTAACTTAAGTAATGCAATGTGTGCAGAAAGCAATCGAAACGCACTCTTTGATCAGTACTATATCGGTGTGTAAGTAAACCAGCAGTTATATCATCTACTGTTGCAAGCTAAATACTACTGCAAGTACAAGCTAAATATTTGTGTAGGCTCGAATATGAAAGTATCGTAGTGAAAGTGAGAATATTGTTGCCTTCTTACGTATAATCAATAAAAATATTCAGTGATTGAGAATCGTCCCGCCAACTCTATTTTTATTTTTGTAAGCTTATCGTTTCCATCAGCATGACCACGCTACTTGTACTAAGGCATAGCACCAGTACCGAATCACACTCAATGTGAATCCTTTGATATATTTTGTATTCAGTATATATACATATATCAGGAATTGTATACATTTTATATTCACAGTCGCACAAAACGAAGCAAAGTCTCTGCGGTTGAAGGCTTATAGAAGTGTGTAGCTTCATATCTCATGATTCTATTTTGTGTAAGAGATGCACCTGAAGTAGACAATCTGTAGAGCCGTGCTTAACATTGTATATCAACTGATATATCAAACTACATGTAGTGCACTTTGACTGGAAGCAATCATTCGTTCACAGAAAGTATATACACTCATACGACAAGATAACATAGTTGGCTATACAGACAATGATTCCGAAGCTCAGTATAGGTATGCCCACAATTGGGCCGCGGCCGTGTTTCCGAGCGCAACAGAACGAACAGAGTCATGATGGTATCCCATCAGGTAGTGAGGATATGACCACAATCAGCAATCCTACAACAGGTGCGTTTTCGAATATTCTTTTAAATTTGTATGAAATTTGTCTAAGTATCTTCCATCGATACAAATGTGCAGAAATGTCTAGTGGTACGAAAGTGTGTGCTTGAAAAGTGACACACACACATACATACACATACACACACACACACACACACACACACAC